GCTCAGCTCAGTCATCAGTTCAAAGGGAGACTGCAGCCAAGAAATTCAAAGACAATAAAGACTTGGAGGAGCATCAATGAAGGAATTGGAAAAGATTATCAGGTGCAAGCGCATTCTGCTGGAGTCCAAGGTCAAACTATTGTATTTCCAGTCACTATCTACGCCTATGAAAGCTGGTCAGTGAAGAAAGCAGGCAGCGGGGAAATGGGCGTGTTCAACATGGGATGTTGGAGGAGAGCTTTGGAAATACCAGAGATGGAGCACTGAAGTTCAATTAGAACTTCTCCTGGAGACCAAAACAACAGAACTGAAGCTGTCGCGCGCTGTGTACAAGATGAGACGGCGAGACTCACTGGAGGAGATCATCACGCTAGGGAACGCGGAAGGCTGCAGGAAGAGACCAAAAGTCCACAAGAGCCGGTCACGGCTGCGAGGGTGCGTCCATTTTGGAGTGTCCGTTCCTGGTGCCTCCATAAGTCAGGAGGCCAGTAGGTACGTTTAACCTTGAGGATCAAACACAAAGGAGGGATACGAGAGCAGGAAGGACGTCCTAATGGTCGGAGCAGCCAGAGGATGGAGCCAAGGCCCTTCTTGAGGCGACGGGCCAGAAGCGTTCAAGCGAAGGCCAGGCGGCCACCTGCAGCGATGCTCCAGACCAGATTCCTGCACTGAGCAGTGGGGTTGGACACGACGGCCTAATTGGTCCCTGCAAGGCTCTGATTACAGTAATGAGGTACTTTGCATATGGCCAGAGACTGTAATTTCCTGTTCCAGGGCTGAACCTCGGAAACGAGCATAGGTTGTTATTATACGCTCTTCCAGACCCTGGCGCAAATTGAACTGCAGCTTTGTCCATCTGATTGAAATAATTAATTCTTTCCACTTTAAAGAAAGAAGGCATTGTGGGTTTCGAGAAGCCAAACTGGAGCGAGTCTCCGGTGACGGTCGGTTGACAAGCTCCAATGCCGTTGGCCTTATTTGGCGTTGCATGTGCTACAGCTTCATTTCTGAAGAAAAAGGGCTCAGGTTCAGCTTTGACTGTAAGTCACGCACATGCCCTTCTCACATAACGTTTCCCAGTGGGGAGATGATAGTACTCTGCACATGCTTAGAGGCACTCTTTCCTCAAGTCTCATACGAATAATCTGTGGGAAGGAGGAGGTCAAAACATTGCCCCTATCAAAATCTCACAAAGAGCCAGTGTTTTTAAAGGATGCTGCCGTCAGCGACGTGCGTAAAAGTGCATTTTTGAAGTGTGTGGGTCCTTTGGAGGCCACAAGGGCAAATTTTCGCCTGCACTGAGTCTCTGGGATGCTTTCAAGCTCTCCTCCAAGCCCGTGCGATTCAGATATCGAGAAAACGGCCACAACTGATCCAAAGGCAGCTTTGCAGGGCAGGTGCTGCTGTTCCAGTCCCAGTCACGTGGGGCGGGATGACACGGCTGCCCTCTGCTCCAGGACTCCCAGCCCTGTGAAATGGCAACGGACTGGGGAGCCACCTTGCCCGCACCTGCCAAGCAACGCGAGTGCAGCAGCGTTTCCGCCAGCCCCGTGCGATTCCTCGGACGAAGCTAACTCCCCATCCTGCTGCGCCCTTCTTTCCACCTGCCCCGCCCTCCTTGCCTCCTCTTCCGCATCCCCTTGCAAGCTCGGCTCCATCCCACCTCTGACCGGCCCACCCGTGCTTTCTCCTCTGCCCCCGTGGCCTCTGGAATCGCTGCTCGGCGTTCCATGATCCGCAACCGCCTGCCACTCGCTCTCCGGAAGGTCCCTGCCTGCTGGCACCTGCTCAGCGCTGGCTCCTCAGCCAACGGCTTCCCGCCCTGCCCCGCAACCCCGGCCCCGTCGTCGTTTTCCCACGCCCCCAACCACACCATGGGGGTGCCTTTCATGCAGGCTGCTGTGGAAAATACTGCCATTTCACGGGGCTTCCATTCCGTGGCTTCAGGGCCTTTTCTTTCCAAATGGTCCTTACTTACTGTCTGTTTTAAGGGTTTCCTGAGACTCACCACCCCACCTCACTCTCCTCGAATCCCTGCGAAAGCCAGGTTCCTGCCTCCTGCATCCCACTAAATCCTCACCAGCAAAACATTCAAGGGCAGCTGGGGCAGCTGGAGGCGAGCTGCCCGCGCGGACGCTTCCTGCTGCCTCTTGCCCGCACTGCTCCTGCCCACGTTCCATCTCCCGAATCCTTGCCTGCATTTGATTTTCCCCACTCCTCTTCCTTTTTGGAACCGAACTGCAACAAGGCAAGGAATCTCTGTCCAAACCTCCCAACTTCCTTTCTCGAGAGCTCAAGAGCAGCCCTGGCAGTGGCAGAGAGCTGGCCCAGGCAACTGCGGGGGGGGGGGGGTTAACCCTTTGCCCCGGCGTGATTTTTCCCAACTGAAATCACTCCCCCCACAGCATGTGAGCCAAGTCACTGGAGAAAGGGATGCATTCTCCCTTTCCCCTCCCTTGCTAAGCTCTGCCCAGCTAGGGGGATGGGGCTTGATCAGGAAAGCAGCACGGAGGAAGCGAGGGTCTTTCCCCCGCTGGGCTGCCCTCGGCTCCTCCCGCCGCACTGCCGCTGCATCTTCAGGGAGACGATCCCCGCTGCGCCTAGCGAGCGCTGCTCCAGAGTAAGCACGCACGGCGTGGCAGGCCTGCCCCCGCACTGCGGCCCCCCCTGCGCTGCAGGCCTCGGCCTGCCTCTCCCCTTCGCCACTTCTGAACGCCTTTCCCCCCAGAGTCCTCGCCAATCTCTGTGGCCTCCGTTCAGGACCCCCTCACCGAGACGTCCTCGATCCACATTTTCCTCTCTGTGGCTGCACAGCACCCGCGTTGACCTGAAGGGCCTCTGATGATCAGCGGCTTTCTCTCTCCGTTCTCTTTGTTGTGTCTCTGGATCCTTCCTGCCCTGAATACTCCAGGGCCGCCTCAAGATCCACATCGCTAAAGCAGAACCCTGGCTTACCTCCCAGAGGGGCTTCCTCTCCTTGCCCCTCTCTCTGATAATGCTGCCGTGTGTCCTCCTCCCGCACAGCCCCTCCTCGCTCTCTGAACTTGCCCGAGCCACTAAATGCTGCACCGTCTTCATCTTCCCAAGGGCCGGGCCACACATTCCCCCTGCTCTGTGGCAAAGCTATGCTGCACACATGTCCAAGAGACGGCCGCATGCGTCTTCCGTGCTCCTTTGCGCGCCTCGGGAAATCCGCGTTGCCCCAGCTTTCCCAGGGTGTTTAAAGATGCAGCTGTTCACATATTTAACTTACAGAATCATAGAATAGCGGAGTTGGAAGGGGCCTCGAAGGCCACCCAGTCCACCCCCTGCTGTTGCAGGACACCTTTGCACCACCCCACTCAGAGGGCTGCCCAGTCTCACCTTGAATGCCCCTAGTGTGGAGAGCCCCCCACCTCCCCGGGCAGCTGGTCCCACCACCGTATTGCTCTGGCAGTGAACTTCTGCACCCGCAGCAAAAATCACCTACCTACTTTTCGGGAGTGGCCACCTCTACTGACATTGCTCTTCCTATGACCGTTCCATCTTTTTTCCAAGTTCCCTGCCTCTCCCAGCCCAGAGGAAGGGACTTAGCCCACCCACTGCCCACGGAGGTGCCCCATGCCCGGGAAAAACACGGGGCTGGCGCCGGAAGGACCGTCGTGCGGACTCCTCTGAGCCCCGGATGAGCCAAGGAAGGGCTGCGGAGCGGGGGGGAGTCTGGCTTGCGGCTTCTCTTCCTTCACTCAGTGACGCTCAGAACCTCACATGGACAACCGTATTGCCCTAAGGCCCGCACCGCTTCACCAACAAACAAGCTACCGCTCTTGAGTCCAAAAGCAGCCGTAATTAACGGCCTCTGTCACGAGAACTAAGCAGCATTCAAGACATTCCAAGTGCCAGGTTCTTCGGCTCCTTCGGATGTCATCTGGGGCTGACAAATAAGCCGAATGACCGTGCGCTGGCCATATGCTTTCAGCTTGTGGTCCCTCGCTTGTGATTTATCCCAGTCCTTCGGGCTCCTGGTTCCACCCCAACAAGCCTTCAATTCTTGTCTGCCTTGGGCACTACAGCAGGGGTGACCCCCACTGCAAGCCAGGACGCCCGGCAATCCTGCAGGTGCCCAGCACCACACCTAACGGAGGGGCCCGGGGGCTGAGGGGGAGGAATGAAAACTCGCCTTCCCCAGCAGCTCGGTTCGCGGAGCTTTTGCCGGCCTCCGAGCTCACCAAAGGGATCAGGGCCAGCCTCCTGCGCCTTTCGAACAGCCAAGGCTGGGATTCAGGTCTGTGCGCGAGCACATCAGTCCGTGTGCAAGACGGAAGGCGCATGGAGCTTGCCTTTAGTGCCAACAAGGAGGAAACACCGGCTGGATTAACTGCAGGGGTCTTGCTCGGAGCATGCAGCATGGAGTCTGGAGAGGAGAGTGGGCTGTGGAGACCGGTCCAGTCCGCTTGCACTTTTCCTCACGGTGCAAATAAATGCACCAAAAGACAACTCCGTAAGTGTGGCCAACGGCCTGAGAAGCACTCAGCAGCACCTCTGAGTCCCAAACACAAGTGCTAAGATGGACGTGCCATGTGGGCATCCTCAGGACCCCAGAGCATTTCAAGTCACAAAAGGGACAGTTGCCTCCACTGCATGGTGAGACATTCGGAAACGAATCGTGCTTTCTGCCTGCCCTTGTCGGCAGCAGGCACACTCAGGTTTCTCTGCACATCACATCTGGATCCCAGAGGCAGGGCTGCCTGGTCCTTTGTGTGTGTGTGAATGCTTCCTTTTCCGATTAATTATCATTCTTGCCAGGTGCATAAATGGCAGAGGGAGGTTGAGCCAGCCCTCCCATGGTTGCTACAAAACCCTCCAACGCTGCACTTAGCTCATTCATGCCGAAGTTCCACATGATACTCTCCTGACCGCCGCTGCTTCACAAGCCAAACATGAGCCACCTCGCAACTGCTAGACACAAAGAAGCTGCAGCCATTTTCTCCACCCAAGTGCAGTAAAAAGCAAACTCATACCTTTTTCTTGTTAGTGGGGCAGATATAGAAATTCTCGATGACAGTGGCAATTCCAGGCTGTAAATTCAACTTGGTGTATAATGTCCCAAAATCTGAGGATCTGGGGGGAAAAAGAAACAGAACATTTCGGTGTATTCAGCTTGCATTTTCCAGTTCAAAAGGGCAGGGATGTGGGTAAGACACTTCACATTTCAAAATGTACATAAATAAGACTTCTAGAATAAGGTAACCAACTCAAGCAGGACACCTGAATGGGAACTTGAGAAAAATGGAAGACATGGAGATAAATGCATTCACATTTACTTCAAACCAATCAGAAGATAAGCTTACTCTACAAGAAAAAATATTTAAAGTCTTGCCAGGGACAAAAAGCTTGGTGTTCTTACTAGTTTGAGGAAGAAAACATGAGATGGAAAAGCTCACAAAAGCCATGTGACTGAACCGCCCCTCCAAAGCTAAAAACACATTTTGAAAAAGCCACTTAATAAATGGCTTTGCAAGTAATGGCAAACTGTGGCTTGATTAGGCCTAGTTTGTGACATCATGTGCTGCCCCTGCTTACAAACCAGGCACTGCGGATTCAATGTGGGCTGACACCACAAATGGCCCAGGAAGAGAAACCATGGCTGAACAGTGAACTGCAGATGTAGGTTCTCATGAAGAGGAGCCGTGGGTTGTTGACGGCTTGTTTCCACAGGCTACAGAGGCAGTGGTGACCCCGCCCCAAGCTCCCGCAGTCTTCGGCTGGCACTGCAAGGAGTGATTTGGGGTGCACGGAAGAGGAGCGAGAAAGAACAGCAATGTTAGTCTTGCGCTCTCGCCATGCCTTAGTTTGCGCTTCTGATCCCTTGGGCAGCTTACCAGTAAGTGGATTCCCTATATTTTTGTTAACTTCTACGTACCTCTTCAGTCCACATTATCATACAGATTGTTGGACTAAACTGGAAGCCTAGAGATGCGACTTTCAGAACAAGTCCTTTTGTGGTCCTTAAGGATTTCAGTGTGCATGCAGAATCTAATAATGTGCTTTCAGCGTGAACTTTAGAAACCCCATGGATTGTGGGAATGCCTGTGCTGCCTCCAAACTGCCCACGCAGGAAAATAACTACCGGACTGAGAGGGCCAAATCCAGCACTCTGGAAGGCTGAAGGGGAAATAATAAGAGTTCTAACCAAGCAAGGAACCATGATTTAAAACTCTGTGTTGTTTCTTGTCCAGTAGCCGAGAGTTCTGGCTTGTTCACCAAAGGGGCAGCCCCACTTTGCCATGGTTCAAAACAAACAAAACAAAAAAAACCAACGGATCTCTGGGAAAATGCAGGAAAGCAGAAGGCCAAGGATGCAAAGATGAATCATTTGCATCCTGGCAACTAGATGCAATCTTGCAATCATCAGTGGTTCTGAACGAAAGAATCTGCACAGAGGCAGATTTTGCATGGAGCCCAATACCATGTGTTATGTTCCGATTTCTTATTTGTCTTACATGGAGATGTTCTCCTTTGCAATTGGCTGCATGGTGGGAAGTCACCTTCCTTCTCAGTTTTTCACTGCCATGGGTTGATTCTATCGCGATTAGATTCTGAGTAAGTGTGATTAGATTAGATTGGATTGGATTAGATTAGATTAGATGGATTAAATGGACTGCCTTACTACAATTACATTTGGAATATGAACTGTACTCAGAGGACTTGAAAACGGTTTTGCATGCTATTCCTTGGCATAACAGGCAGAATAAATGGCAGTCTTTGGTGCTCAAGTACGGTTCTTAGCTCCAAAACACCTCCAGGAATTAGTGTCGGCTGCGAAGCAAAATGATCTAACGCTGCCAGGTACTAGGGGGCGAGACAAGAATGTGCATCTGCAGTTTTTCAATGTCTAATTATTTTAAGAAGTAGAGATGCGTGTTGCTCTCCAGCTAAAGAGGGTGCATGACAAGGTCTCAATCTTTGTGTATGTGATGTCATTTTGACCTCATGTGCCCAGGTAGGACCACTCGGAATTATTGAGGCAGGTAAAGGTGCAATCCAGTGCATATTGAGATTTTTAAAAAATCCCCGCATTTGCCGGTCAGCATGGCTGGCGGAGGAACACTGGACCTTGCAAAACGTTCTTCCCAGTCTGCACAGATGTGGGATCGCACACTGGTCAGCCATGACAGTCGGAAAGTGTTGTATGATTTGTAATAAGGCTGAAATAACTGCTTTTGGTAGGTCCAGGTGTCCATAGTTGGAAACAAACGGGAAGAGTCCAGAACAAGTGAAATCTTGGAGAGAGGGGGCCAGATTGTTGGGCGGGGGACCCGGGAGAACCGAGCAACAGAAATCCAGGCTCTGGTAACTTCTCGGTTGGACTATCACAATGCACTTTACGTGGGATAAACATTGTGGGGCCAGGCAAATGCTTTTTTATTTTTGGAGTATTTTAATTGCAGACAGTTCAAATTCTCTTTAATTCTAGTTTTGAGTTAGCATTTTAATTTATGGATTTTAAAGCTGCAATTGGGATCTTAAAATGTAAAATGTGTCCAATCCAGTCCCTGTAGGAGGTCCTCATGGTGGGTGCCCCAGCTGAAGGTTTTATTTACTGAATTTGTTTACAATGTCTAAGGAAGTTTGTGTTTTTGCTTACTTGTGCCTTAAATTGCAAAAAAAAGGTCCAGAGAACCAGATGGCTATTGGGACCATCTATAAAAGCCTGAAATAAATAAATTGCATGCCTGGTGACCGGATCTGGATGATGCTGCAACCCGCAAATCAGGAGTTGAAGATTCGAAATGGTGGCCAACAAGCACCATGGATCCTCACGGGGGGGGGGGGGGGGAACTTGCCCGGCCCGTTCCTTCTAGTTAAGGAAGGTTGAGTGTGTGGTGAACACCTCTGGGAGGGAAGGATACAAACGTGAAGATCTAAAATTCTATATAACCTGCTAATTTCGTGGTCCTTGTTTGCTCCAGACCCTTCTTATTTGCCTCCTTTGAAGTACATCCTGCCGGTAATTTGAGGAACTGAGAAAGAAAGTTTGCATAATTCCTTTCAACCCATTATTTTTGGCTTATTGAATCTGTAGGATGTTTTTACGTGCACCCTCCAAGTAGGACACGTTGAGAAAAACTGGCCACAAAAACACACGTAACAGACCTTCCAGTCCCTTCTCAAAATACCTACGGATTCCTGATATATTCTCAGACGCTAATTCAAAGTGACATTGAGTTTTGTTCTGCTCAGTCACGTGTAACGGGAAGAAACTACGGGGCATTCTAATTGGTATAATTAGTCAGTTCACTTGTCCGCCTGCACACTCCTTGATTTTTTTAAGGTCTTCTTGCAGTGTGTAGCAGGAAAAATATCAGACTGTTAAAGGTACAGCGTTCATAAAATCAGTGCAAGCTGGCGCTCAGATCTGAGGGAATGTTCTGCATGAAGGGGTGACGAGCACCTTGCCAAAAAAAGGGACAGAAGAGGTTCTGCATTTATATAAGGTTCGTGTGTTGATTTATACTTAGATGCAAATTTGGGAATTGCTGCTCTAATTGGAAGAAATATTGCATTTCTACTGTAGCAGGAAATTCGGTAACCAAGAGACCCATCTGCCAGCAACCTCCCCCCCGCCCAGTACTGTTCAGGGGCAATTTCAAGACTCTATGAGCCCTTTCCTGGAGCCTTCACCAGGTGCTACAAATGCATCTCAGCTGCGTGGCGAACGCAGGAACGCGGGCAGCCAAGTCCACCCCTCGCGAGGAGCACCTTCTCCGGCTGGTGCCAGCTGCCAGAGCTGTGGGGCGAGCTTGCCCGCATAAACAGATCCCAATATTCAGATGCTCTAAGCTTATTTTGATACTTGGCAGATATAATCCATTCTCTCATGAACGAGGTTCTATAGGAAATAATGGCATCATCATCATCATCGATTGTAAAGGACCCTCTTTCACACCACTTTCCGCAAGATGCTTTATGCGCCGCTGCAGCCCGTTCCGCACCTGCTTTGCACACGTGCATAATTTGGGAGCAGGCCACTCCATCCAGACGCTGTTCCACAGAGGACTGAGCTGAACATTCCTCGCTCTGGTGTTTGGGTGGCCATGAGGGGCTTTGCGGCTTAGAATCTTTCTTCACAATGGCCCTTCAGCGGACGGCTCTTCAGAAGCAAAACAGGTCTAAAATATGTTTACCCTGCACTGAAACGCTTCGAGAGAGACTTCCCGGAAGGCGACTTTTGGATGCTGGAGAAGTGGCGATCCCTCCATCAGATTCCCACCTTCCTGGAAGAATCGGCTGTGATTCTAGTCCTCTCTTCTCATTTTCTCCATCTTTATAGCAAACCACACATTCTTGCTGGATGTGTCCTGGTTTGAGGGGTGGTGGTGGTTTTAATCCACATAGCATCAGAGCATTACATTTATATCCTACCTGTTTTCCTCTTATATAACCCCATTTTATCCTCACCACAACAACCCTGTGAGGTAGGCTGGGCAGAGAAAGAGAGACTGGCCCAAAGTCACCCAGTGAGGGGGGATGAGAACAGGTCAAGTTCTCCAACCCCACATGAAACTATTCAATAAAGCAGATTATCCAAATGTGCTGCATGTAGAAGATTATCTGTTAAAACACAAAACAAGAAACAGCTTTATTTGATCCTTTACCATATTTTGGGAAACTCACGAGAACAAGAACGATCGATCTGCCCTTCCCAGGCTGTGGAGGAGAGTTTTCACTTCAATAATGTACCCTCCTTCACTTTGTTTTCCCCTTGGTTTGATACATTTTAATAATGCTTGTGTTTTTATTGCATTTTAAAAGGTAGAATTATTTTAAATAAAAAATAAATACAATTTTATTTCATTGCTTTTTTATTATACTATATTGCTTTTTAAAAAGTCGTGCCTGGAAACTCAGCTTATTTAGGTTAGCTTAATCTCTATGCTTACCTTTCTTTTCTGTCTGTTTTTCTACAATTGCACTTTGTTTTTGTATTCACCATGAAGTTTGGGGTGCCATTTTTAGTTTGCCTCACTTCTGCAAAAGATGTTGTATTTGTTTAATTTGCATTTCTTTCTAAAGTGAGACCAGACTAATTTTTCTCCTCTTCTGGTTACCAAAACTTT